CGGCTAGGTAACATCTTCAGTGCTAAAGCACTGTTTAGCACTGAAGATGTTACCTAGCCGGGTAATGAAACGTTTGCAAGAAAAGAACCAAGCTCAGAGAACCCCAAGTTTACCTGTTTTAAATACATGTATTAATTGTATTTGAAACCACTGAGCATATACCAGCATTGTGGTTTTTTTCCTCTGATGTTACCTAGCCGGGTAATGAAACGTTTGCAAGAAAAGAACCAAGCTCAGAGAACCCCAAGTTTACCTGTTTTAAATACATGTATTAATTGTATTTGAAACCACTGAGCATATACCAGCATTGTGGTTTTTTTCCTCTATTGTAGGGAGTTGGCACAGATGAGAACTGTCTAATTGATGTATTGGCTTCAAGATCAAATGGAGAGATCTTCCAGATGAAAGAAGCCTACCTAATGCGTAACTATTCTCGATATATGTGCATTCTTATAAAATGTACAGTGGTAAAATAATCAATGGACAATGTACAGAGTAGAAACTTTTTTTAGACCAGTCTGATGAGATGGTGATGAAGTCTCTTTCCTCTTTGCCAAATGCCTGTATCATGATTCCCTATAAACAGTCCTTTCTGCAGCCTTATATATTCTTACAGGGAATAAAGATCTCAGGGTGCAATGGATGTACTTCTGAGTAAATATGCATCAAACGATGTATCAAGACTCTGGCATTATATGCATCCTAAACAGGTCTTCATCATTTAAGTTGTCAAATGATGACATTATGAGATCATTAGAAAATTAGCTTATTAAAAGCTGATTTTCACTTTATTCAGTTTCAGAACAGAAAACAACATAAAGATGTTTTATATGTTACTACCAATATTTTTTTGTAGATGTTACTACCAATAATTAAGGAGTTTATATGAAGATTATTTTATACCTGTTATGTGCAATTCTGCTCAGCAGAAAATCCACTGAGCTTAATAGACCTTGTACTGAATTGCATGCATAGAAATGCAGTCTCAGAAGATCACTCTTTCCTTCTGTAATGACTTGTAGTCAGAATGAAGCTAAGCTATTTGTAAAACAGATAAAACAAAATATTATAAGGAACTCAGCAGAAAAGCTGCTGCTCTATTGCAATCTTAGCTCCACCCCAGAAGTTGTAGTTCTTAGAGAAATGTTTTTTTGGAAAGCAGAAATACTGGTTTCCTGCTATATCATTTTGGGGAATTCTTTGTAATTCCTGATCAGGTCCTTATTATGCTTACCGTTGTCTATTTTGAAGCGAATTTATTATTAAGAATCCTCTCTTCTGTAAACATCTCCTTATTATAGAAAATTAATTTCCCTATAGTATGTCATTGTATGCTCACATGCCAAGAGAAATTTATTCAGGTTGTACTATCTTGTTACAGAAGTTTCCAAGAATTTTTAGGATGTTTAGTCAATGCACTTACAGACTGTAGAATCTCCCTTCCTTCCATACAAACTAATTATGCACAGTAAAATATTTCTAGCTCTTCTGGAGCATGGATATTTCAAAGAATAATTGTGCAAACTTTCACTCAGTGAAGCTTAGCTCTTATTAACAATTTTCTTACACTAGGTTTATTTTCATTTTTGAATTCACAAAATGTTTTGTGATACAATTGCAAACCAGCTGATCAAGCTTGTAGAGGTTATACTATTTGAAACAATATGAATTGCTTTCTTTTATACATCATAGTAATTTAAAATGTTTTGCTCACTCATTACTAGATGCTCAAATATTTATCATGTTATTTTTAGAATATGACAGTGATCTTCTGCAAGACATTTATTCTGAGACTTCTGGACACTTTAGAGATACATTAATGAATCTTGGTCAGGTATTGTATAAACAAAGTTGCTTTGTTGTTGTTTTTAAAGGATCATTTGGCATTCAACTTTGGGAGAAAGAATTGGAAGATTCTTATTTTTAACACTTTTGACTAAATTTTAGTTGTTGAAAACAATTTGTTTTGTTGCCAAAACCAATTCCCATGATCTTTCAAAGGAAGTACTTAGACTAAGGAACTATTTTGTAAGTGAAATAGTTCTTTTTTAAATAAATATCTCTGAAAGAATGTATGGTATTACATAATTCAAATGTAATGCCAAACACTTTTTCTTAAGTGAGTTCATTGTTCAAGGAAATCTACAGCTTGCTCAGCAATTTGCTTTGCACTTGCTTGCTTCTAAATCTGAATTTAGTAATTCAGTAATCATCATTTGGTCATCATAGTTTGAAGTTCATTTCTCATTAAAAGGGTAAGGCATAATCTTAATTTGCTGAATAGGATAATAATGATAAACTATGATTAACATTAATACAGGTAATGATAGAAATCAGAGCATGCAGAATATAAACTCAAACTTTGACCATGCAATGCCAAACTGAGATTCAGTATTTTATTATAAATGTTCTATGTATCCTTCTCTCACACACACATAATATGAAATGATACAAGAAAAATAGGAAAAGCTGTTATATGCACAAATGAGGAAGATAACATGGAAAAACTGCCTGTGACTTGAGTAAGGAAAAAGTAAAAGTATATGATTAAGCATATGTGAGAAGCTGTGAGATTGCTGGTCCAGTCATGAATGATGTAAAACAATGCGACAGACTGCCCTTGAGTGTGTTTTCAAACTGCTCCAAGGGCAGAGAGCATGATTATCGCAAATGGCCGCTTAAAGTTATGCCTGTTAACTTTTTCCAGGGAAGCAGACAAGAAGGCTATGCAGATCCTGCCATGGCTGCTCAGGATGCTATGGTATTGGCCCATTTTGAATTGTTTTGAGAAATTTTGAAGGGCTTGCTGTAACGATCTCTTAACCGTCATTACTGTTTTAATTGTTTAGGTCCTATGGGAAGCATGCCAGCAAAAAAGTGGGGAACACAAAAACATGCTCCAGATGATTCTGTGCAACAAAAGCTATCAGCAGTTGTGGATGGGTAATGTACATTTTCATCAAGAAACTGAGCATATACTGAATATGGAGTTCAATTTTAATTTAAAACTCTTCCAATTAGTCATCGTCTGGGACAGAAAAATTAAACCTTTGTAATCAACATTGCATTTGTTTATTCAAATTAATTGACAAACATCTGTCTTTTTCCTAATAATTAGTTTTTCAGGAGTTTCAGAATATCTCTGGACAAGACATAGTAGATGCCATTCTTGAATGTTATGATGGATACTTTCAGGAACTACTGGTAGCAATAGGTAAAAAAGCTGTTTTTATGGTAGTATGTTATAATCTTGACTTTCATATAATACTTGTATAATATCATTTTGTAGAAGTGACACATTTGAATGTATGTAATGATTGTGGCATGTGCAAAAAAAGAAAATTTGAAATATGGGCTAAAATAGACCTGTAACTATGGGGTCCTTGGTGCTCTCTGAGCTTGGTTGTTTCCTTGCAGATGTTTCACTACCCAACTAGGTAACATCATCAGTGCTACTAGCGATATAGATATAGATATAGATGATATAGATATAGATATGTGTATGTGTGTGTGTGTGTGTGTGTGTGTGTGTGTAAACCCTGAGCTATATATATTCTCTTCATTAGGCCTATAATTGCTACAAAAAATTACTATCTACACTGAGAGAGGAGTTAATTGTACTCCTTGACTAATTGTTTATAGTATTCCCCAAGATTTCCTGTGTTGGCTTGAGAAAATCTAGACTGAGCTCAAAATCTCTTATCTTGAAATTATAGGGAAAGCTTGTTGTTGTTTTTAAACAACTTAGACTGCAATCCCATAAACCAGTCTCAAGCAATGGGCTTTAAATTTCTTAGTCAACTTGATAGGGTTGCATTGATACTCACATATTTTTCACACAGGGATTCCAATCTAAAAAGGGAAAATGTTGATCTTCCTCCCCCTACCAATTAGGTGGTCATATAAACAGAGCCTAGCAAACATACTTTGTTGTGCTATTGATATTCAAAGAATTCAAGTTCAAAATTCAAAGTTTTTCCTCTAACAGCTTGGTTACACTTCCTGCCACTAGCTGGGGTAGTCTGGTCTCTTATTAGTGGAGAATTGTGAGAGCCTCTGTCCCATAATACAGCAGAGCATGCTGTGAAGCAGCTGGAATACATGGTTCCTGGCATGCCAACAACAGAAATTGCATAGGGGAAGGAGAAATGCCACCACAGTAAGCACAGAGTAATTCTATAAAAGTACTGTATTTTACTAGGAAATTTTAGAACTCCTTAGTCATCAGTATATTTCTTGCTTGTTCTCCCACTCCTAGCACATTCACTTTCATCTCTCAAAGGATGAAAAGGAAATGAGAAAGTTCACACTACCTAAACATAAATAATTATTACTCCTTTGTGCTTATGCTTAGATTTTGAAAACTGTAATCTGTCTGTCTTTTTCCATCTCAGTTCAGTGCGTTCGAGACAAAGCTTCTTATTTTGCCTCTCGGCTTTACAACGCAATTCACGTGAGTATTCATATTATCTGAAAAAAATAGTTTTATTAATCTTATATATCTCAATTCTCTTCTAAGAAAGTTATAATCTTCAATTTAAACATGGTGCTTACTAGCTTTATGGTACTATTATAGTCATGTCAATTCAAAATTCAGTTGATACAGTAATTTGGCAATGGCTATGAAACTATGCTTTCTTCCCATATCTTGAGATACAGTCCATTGCCTGATTTACAAATAGTTTCTAATTATGGCAACCAATCCTAAGTAAGTTCAGCGGGATGCTTCCTGATAAGTACAGTGGTACCTCGGTTCACAAACTTAATTCGTTCCACGACTCTGGTTGCGAACCGAATTGGTCGCAAACCGAATCAAATTTTCCCATAAGGTTCAATGTAAATACGGTTAATCTGTTCTGAACCATATGTATTTTTTTTAAAACCACAAAAATATGAAACAAAGTACAGTACAGTATAGTACAGTATGAAGAGAGAGAACACTAACCTTGCTTGAGGCAACTTCTGGCGTGGAGGACAGGAAGGCAGGTGGGGAGGCGGTTATTGTTTGGAGGGAGACTCCCCCTCGTCTCCAGGAAGCCATGACCATGTGTCACAGCAGGGAAAATGGCCACGGGTCGTGTTCGTCACCTGATGCGGAGTT